GGACCCCCCTTCCCCTGGTGCCTGGCGTAGGGACCCCTGATGCCTGGCGTAGTGACCCCCTGGTGTCTGGTATAGTGACCCCCTGGTGTCTGGTGTATTGAGCCAATGGGCCAAATATGTTACATAAATTTACAATCAATTCAACTTTTATTCAAGTCTTTTGCCTCTACACTGAAAACTAGTAGGTAGAGTGTTGTTGGTAGTAGGATTCTGATTTCTAACAATGAGATAGTTGTTGACCTGTAACATGTGGAGTTTAATAAACATGAAGTATTATTCTGCCCCTTTATTTGACATGTAATAATACAGTGAACGATGCCACTGTGTGAATTAAAGTACTGTTAAAGACTACGTTGTCAATCATTGTGGCTTCCACGACCAATTTTCTATCATAATCATGCATATACTGAATTATATCTTTGTTATGTCATGTAAATGTGGCATTTTGAATTTTTACAAATTGAAATAATCTGTATATCCTTAAATTTTTTTTTTTTGAATTGCTTTTAAATGTTTTTGGGGGTTGCGTATATAAACCATGAAATGAACAACTGTGTACGGAATATTCCATTTCTGAGCCATTTGAATCGTGTTCACTCCACAGTGTTCAACATGATATATTTTAAGTGTGGCCATTTTGAAGGGATGTGCACGTATGCGTTGATTCCCACACTTCAATAGAAAACCTTTTATATTGGAAACTAAGCCGTACTCATACATATGCATTAAAATGATAAATCTGCTACATGCTGCTGCACATTGTGTGAACTGATCAGCAAAGAGACATGGTTGACAGGCATCCACTGCAGGTCAGTCCACAACATACTATCATAGGTTTAGCATAATATCTCAAGATGACGTTTTTTTTTTTTTATGAGTATGTGAAATGGATGAAAATATGTCTAGTATAATAATCTCTTCTTTTTCCAAGACTGGTGGTGTTGGTTTTATTCTTCTTGTTTTACCTATACCTGCCGACTGGTTAAGTAGAAATGATTTGAAAACTGATTATTTTCAGTAATCATATTTTCATTCAGTGGAGTTCAATAGAAATATAGTTATGTTTTGTTGTAATGTGGGTCGGTATTAGATTTGCTGAAACTGCAAGATATCTAATTTTTCAATAAAAAAATAGATATGTGCCACCAATACAACAGAATGTATATATCAGCTATAATCAATAGTTGTACTTTTTGAGAATATTGACTTGTCACTGATCAATTTTTTTCTGTGGTAAATCAATACTGTCACAAAATAAATCAACAATTTGAATATGTTTTGACGTACATGTAAAATATCATCAATGATAACATCAAAAATATTTATTATAAACTAATTTTTAAGAACTCTCTAAAACTTTTACATGTTTATTAGTCAGCAGCTCTGATATATAGTATTGGTAAAGTTAACACCAAAATGTGTTTGTTCGGAAATTGCTGAATTTTGTAGTTATTTTCCGTAAATTATATCTTTATAAAATTATTTTACTTAAAAAAAAATCAAATCTTGTAGAAAAATTATGAATTATGATGTAAAATTTGTAATCAATCTTTTTTCCTGAAAAATCATTATCATGTAGGCCTTTAAAAGTTGTATATATTGTAGTTACTAAATAATATCTTTATAAAATTATTTTACTTAAAAAAGTCAAATCTTTTGAAAAATTATAAATTATGATGTAAAATTTGTAATCAATAATTTTTCCCCAAAAATGGTTGAATATGCAAATATAACACTATCTATGTATTTATATGAAAATACTAGAGTTGAATATAGTACAACATGTGTGCAAACTTTACGAGTTCACTTTGCACACGTTGAATTGTTGTCGTATTTAATTGAAATTTAAGTGAAATTTATCTTATCCCAAACAAATCTTTATTTTTTGACTTTGTCATGATAGTTTGCCATAATTTTTGGAAGTAGAAAAAAGTATTAAAATAAATGTAAATAGGAAATAAATTAAAGAACAAAATCAAATATTATGTACCAGATTTCGCTTTGCATATATACATATTTATTTTCGTATAGACATTATCGTCAATGACATAAAACTGGTAAAAACTGGTACATGTTTAATAATCAGCAGTTCTGATATGTATTATTAATAAAGTTAAAGTCAAATTGTGTTTGTAAGGAAATAATTATTTGACAGTTTTTTGACAGTTTTTTTTTTTATTTTGTGGTTGCTTTTTGTAAATAGACTTTATAATAATTTTTTACTTCCAAAATTATCAAATCTTTTGAGAATTGTTGAATATGTAAAGTTTGTAATCAATATGTTTTCATGCTAAAATCATTATAATAAATGTAGGCCTTTAATGTGGTGTTCACCGTGTAC